TGTTAAACTTACTTTTTTATGTTTGTTACAACTTATTAAGCTCTATTTAATTCGATTAAATGTATTTATGCACTTGTACAAATGAACTGTTTTTTCTTTTAAGTTCGGTCACCTGTTTTCCTTTTCTTTCCTACTTGTATGAAGGTGAGATGCTCCCATCTGTGATGTGTAAATGATTTTCTGACCTATTTGACTTTTTTTTCTATTTGTTTTTTTCTTTTTTATTTTTTTTATTTTTAGAAATGATGCATTTTTTTATCTTGTTTTTTTTTTTTTTTTTTACTTTTTGCATTTTTTTACATCAAAAGTTTTTTACCACTTAAACATTTTCATAAGTCGTAAATAAGCAGCTGCGACAGACTGGTGGCCTGTCCAGGATGACCCCGCCTCTTGCCCGAAACGTTCGCTGGAGTTAGTCACCAGCACCCCTCCCAGGCTCACTGGGGGGAGGGAGGGAGAGAGGAATGGATGGATGGATGGATGGATGGATGGATGGATGGATGGATGGATGGTAAATAAGCAGTCAAAATACTTAATGTGAGAGCCATATTCACCGACATGCAGTTCAGGAGTCAAGGGCAGGCTGACATGTGACTGATGTATGATGGGATGGACTTTTGTTCCCACTGAAATTTTCAGAATACAGAAATATTTTTCAAGCTACATAATTGAGCCATCGACACAAATAAAACTTTAAGGAATAAATGGGACATAAGGAAATATTATGTTTTAATCAGGTTGTAGCTCACTACCTTTATTCATTTATTTATCTTTTAACTTCACTGTCTACTAAACCTTAGTTATTCATATTTGTCCCAGAGCTGACAGAGTAAGTGGTTAATGTTACTCATCGTTCACTTATTACAAAACAAACAAAATAACTACACTTAACATACCGATTGACTTTAGCATCTTATATTAGCATAGCATGATTAAAGTGAATGTCCTTTAGCATTACCTCTTTGAAAAATGCAGGTATTCTAGTTAGTAAATATTTTCATCAACTATTAAACTCACTATTATTATTGTTATTATTACATTCCTTGACAAACAGTGTTCAACTCTCTGCATTTTGTATTTAGTCGTAGGACTGCACAATAAAAAAAATGCAATAATATAGATTATGATTAAGCCAGATTTTCCACATACTTTATTTTTATTTCTATTATACGATGAGTTTTAGTATCTCGGTTCCTAAACATAGACCTCTAAAGCGGGCGTACATAGGCAGCTAAAGACCATCCAGTTGGCCGGGTACATAATCAATAGACAAAGCGTGAAGAAACTGAAAATATATAAAAATAACAATATTGTGCAACTCCACTTTACACTTTAGCTGGAGGTTTGCTGTCTTCTGAGTTAGTTGGATACATGGAGACGAGTTTCCTGTCCACAGATTTCTCACAGTTTGTGCTAAAAGTGCAAGACACCCAACAGGAGATGCTCTGAGAAGACATTAATCTAATGGAGACAAATGAATGACAAGTTCCATTAATCACAGTGAATTTCAGTTTTACACCTTTTTAACTTTAGTCAAAGAAATGCCGTGTCTGGTCATGTGGAACCTGTATTTTTGCTTTAGTTTCTACAGTGTGCAGCTTGGACACAAACCACATTAAAGAACAGAGCAATAAACCAATAAGTGACGGGGTCTTGGGAACAATGACAGAACAGACTAAATGACAGGAGAGGAGATTGAATTGGAGCCTCAGGTTGTTGGAAAGTCATTACTAATGCAGTCGTTCAGAGTATTGCTTAAATGTGAAGGAGAAGCAGCAAGTGTGTGTGTGTGTGTGTTGTAGTAGTTTAATTTAATCTAGCACTTCTTCCTGGGTCATTGTCCCCAAGATGGAAGGTCAGATGTTTTTGGTCATGGAGAAAGTTTGGACGTTGGTTCAGATGTTGGCTGAACGACTCTTGAGGACCGTTTATTACCAAGTCAGGTGAGCAGATATTGAAAGCTGGGAGCATTTCCTGACTGATTGTTTTATTCATTAGTAAAAGTTGTTTCAGGTTTGGGGAATTGCATATCGGAGCCTCCGGATCCAGCAGGATGGAGTTCACACAGTTTAACAGCCGTCATACACACAGAGCTGTCAACATCTTCACAGCACAACAATGTAGTAACGCTGAGTCACAGCCCCACTTTATTTGCTAATAGTCCTGCTCTCACTACATACTATTAGAAGAGGAACTAAATATAGAAGAATAAAATTCAAGAGAACTTAAACATGTTTAAAGATTTCTCTATTAATACTCGAAGATTGGGATAGATTCATAAACCTGGCACTGGTGAACATCTGCTGTCCTGGAGCTTCTGGGTAAATAGACTTTCTATTTTTAGCCATCTCATTGTTCAATGCCATGGTACACCCAATTGTTAACAGCTATACAGATTAAAATCCAAGAGGTCTATTATTAAGCTTCTATATTTACCTTGGCTTGACAATGCACATGGTGATTCAAGTCTGAGGAATCCATTTCTGCTGAATGGCTTTGGATGTAGGAGCGAATCAGAACTGTCGCTTCAGTGATTTGTCACATGATTTAGAGAAGCGCATTTCTTCCAAGGGTTCCTTCAACTTTTAGAAAATTCAAACAGTAAAAATGTAGAGCTGGACATACAGATACATTAAGGTTGTTCCATGACATTTAGGTGTGGACTGGTATTAGAAACTGATTTCTGTCTCATTGTGATATAGTTCAAAAGCAGAAATCAACAAAAGCTACAATAAAGATCAATAATCTGATATATGAAACTGCAAGCCAATAGTTTAATTGAGCCTTTTGAAAGAGAAAATGAGCCAATGCTGAAAATTAAATATTGAAATTAAATTGAAATATTTAAATTTAATTTTCTGAAACGGAGATCAAACAGGTTTTTTTAAAAATATGTTTTGATTTTATCAAAAGTAATTGATTATGGAAAATTTAAAAACAAAAAAAAAAGTTAAAAAAAAATGAAGTAGCACTGATGTACACTGTAGCATTATTTTGTAAATTTATGACTGAAGTTTGACAAATTTGTCTTACTATTTGTTCAGTAACCGTCATTTGTATACATATTTATTTTCCCAACTGACATGCTAGTTCTAGTATGGCTAGCATGAACAGGAGCTAGCATGAACAAAGCAGTAAACATGCTAGCTTCTTTACAGCTAACATGTTGTCTATGTTCGGTCTGGACAGAGAAGAATCCATGTTGTTTCTGGCATCCCTTCAAAAGTAGTTAAAGCTGTTGTAAGAGGTTGTTTATCTGATAAAATATGACGATGATTATTAAATATGTTGAAACCAAAGCCAGGTGGTTTCCCAGCAGTAAGGTAATCCTTACAATTTCTTCCTTGTTTGCTGTCTTACTTCATTCAGAGCCTGCTTGAGCTTAGCAGCTCTCTACTACTAACAAAATGAGCACATACAAGATGAAAAGTGTTTTCCATTTATAAAGTAAACTAAACCAAACCTCCGTATCCCATGAAATATGAATGAAATGCATTAAAAATGAAGGCGGCATGATGTTGGTGACTGGTGGAATTGCTCCCTGGAGGTTTCACGCTCAGAAAAACAACATCTGGGTGTTGGTAAAAAAAGAAAAACTTTTTGGAAATTGAAATGATAATAATGAAAAACTAGTTGGGGAGACTTGAGTTATGTGAATTAAAAAATATATATATATATATATATATATATATTAAATATATATTAATATATATATTTAATATATATTAAACTTGTTTTAAGTCGATAATTATAGAATAAAGATTATAAAACAGTACTAAATCCACTGGCAGATAAAAAGAAACGGGATGAAAACAAAAACGTGTCACGTAATTAAATTCAATCTATATACAATAATTATTTACTTAAATCTATCTTTTTGAAAAGTTCCTTTAGTTATTTTTGTCTTATTTCAAGTGTAGCAAGATATTTGCTCTAAAAACTAGACAAAAATACACTAATGTACAAACTTCGTACTATAGAACAAAGTATTGGAAAATGTTTAGGGTGATGCCGTTTAAGAATGAAAAACATAAGACATTATTTTATTTCAATATTCTATCAAAGATTTTTTTAAAACAGCATTTTACATGTAACTCGGTTTTTACAGTGTTTGTCTTTGTTTTTAATAAACGTTCCAGGCTGAGAAGTGCTACAATCATCTGTTTGTTTTAATGAATAACTTTTAATAAATAATCTAAATCTGCCAGTCATCACTGTATAAACGGTCCTTTTCTACAAAAAGAATCCTATTCTGCTTTTTCAGTGGAACTCTCCATGGTCTGACCCGAGAGAGAGACCTCAGTCTGTCAGTGAATACCAAACACTCTCACAGCAACTCTACCTTCTGCTTGTTTTGTCTTCAGGGGACAAACATGTAGTGATTGTAAGAAAGGAGTCGGTGGTTGCAATACACCAGGGCTGTGATTCAGCCTCCAAAGCCAGCAGGATAAAAAAAAAAAAAAACATTTCTCAAGTGTTGCAGCTTTGTGTCTTCCTTGCATGTTTTTCTTTGCAGCTCTAATAATCTGTTTAGATCCCGATATTTCCACAGTCTCCTGACTGAGTCTGTGAGCCCATCCATTTTATTTGCCAGTGTTATCACAAACCTTGTAATGATTGATGGCTCAGTTAGTTCCATTCTCGTTTCATGGAGCCAGAATCATTCCTCATGAGGTGACTCTGCAGACAAATTTAAATGCTTTTGTGTATTTTCGTGGATATTGCAGACCGCCTTGCGGGCGTGGTGTTGGTAAATGACGCAACTCTCTGAAACAAAGCCGACATGGAGCAAAGCCCAGGATTTGTGTCTGTGACCTACAGATAGTACAGTGTGGTGACAGCATTACAGCTGTAAAAGAGCGCCTCCCTGGAGAGGCCAGTCATTTTACAACAAATGTTTTTCTACATACTTCAAAATCAACTCTTTCTACCTCCTTGTTTTTCTTTGTATGTACGCACATTTGAGTCATTGAAAGATTGATTTTTCTTTTGTCTTTCAGAATAAAGTCATGACCATCGACAGTGTGAAGGTCAAACTGCAGGTGAGAGAAGAGAAGTGGATTTTAAAAGATCAAGACTCTTGTTTTATTCTCCTTTGTGTGTGTGGGGGGGGGG